GTATTTGAGATACTTAATTTGGTTTTGGAATGCATTGAGGGGAATTACATACATTTAGAAATGAATTTATAAGTTTATTGGTATTCCCATTGGTGTACTTTCATGTGTGTGGTGATGCTAATAATATGCTTCCTTGTCAGATTCCATGAAAAGTAGATATATAGTTTAATTTCATAACAAACATTCATTGGTTATTATTCACTGGTTATTACCATTTATATAATATATTTTATTGGTTTTCAGGTACTTGAAGAAGCAGAAGCTCAACATTTGTATCAGTCCATTTTGCCTGATATGGTAAAAATTGCACTCTGTCTGCCAAATATTTGTACCCAGGTTAGTGTACTAACTTTCCTGAGATTCTCAGTTGAATTTACTTTAAACTCTAGTGGCCAGGGTCAGAGAGGAGAGGGAGAGATCAGAAACAGTTTTTGCCAAAGAGTGTGGTAGTTTTGCTGTACTAAGGAAAAGGTTAGAGGTTAGAGAGAATGCTGCAAAAGGACATTAAAAATGCAGTTTTCAATTTCTGAGCTTCGGTTTACACTGTTAAAGTTTATTTACTCAGATTTTTTTCTCTTTTTTTTGAGTGAGATGCTGTTTAAACAACTATAGTCATTATTTAAAACATACTAGTGGATATGGAATGTTTTATTGTCAATGGCTTAATATTACCACCTCCTTACTCATCTTCTGCAAAGTAATATATTTTTATAACAAATGAGTTCATGGTACTTTAACTTTTAAAAATAAAAGAAAGATTCTTATATTGTTTCATTTTGTTTGGAGTCCCTTACTTACATACTGCTACGTAACAAATTGTCTCAGAATTTAATAGCTTAAAACAGTTAAACATTTATTATTTCACAGTTTCTGTTGGTCATGAATTCAGGAACAGCTTAGCTGACTGAGTAGTTGTGGTTCAAAGTCTCTCTTGGTTATAGTAAGGATGTCAGCCAGGGCTGCAGTCGTCTGAAGATTAGGCTGGGGCTGGAGGACCCACCTCCCTCTAAGTTCGTTTGCTCACATAGTTGTTGGCAAGAGCCCTCACCATGTGCCTCTCTATAGGGTGGTAAGATGTCTTCATGACACAGTAGCTAACGTCCAGGGCAAACAATCCAAGGGAGAGAGTAAAGAAGCTGCAGTGTCTTTTATGTCCTGGTTTCTCAAAGCAAATGATATAAAAGAAATATCATTTATATTTCTGCTTATTTAGAAGGTAGTCACTAAGTCTAGCCTTACCCAAGGGGAGGGGAATTACTCTAGCTCTTAAAGGGAAGAGTATCAAAGAATTTGTCAGCATATTTTTAAAACCTTCATAGGAGTTGTTTAGTTCTTCATAATTTTCTTTTCATGTTTCTCACAACTGTGGCTTGAATTTGCTTTTTGTCTTACTTTGAGGAAGAGCCACTCTTGTTGCATAGAAACTAGGCAGTGTTCTGTAAACGCTGATGCTTCACAAAGGACGTACAGATATTTGGGGGAAACTGTTTCTGAATGTGTGGGATGGTCCCACTGAAGGCAGTATGTCATTGAGACACCCCCCCCCAAAATCACAAACACAGTCCCTATAACACCCCAAAAATACCGAGGCGTGTCCAAATGCCTCCTTGGGATCATGCTACTTTCTGTTGAGAACCTCTGTTTTCCAACTGTGATGTTTCCAATTTTATCTAACTTTGCTTTGATCACAGTAATGTATTGTGTCTAAAATGTTTTACTCTCTGGCAGGTGAAGTATTTTTTAAAACATGTCTTCTTGTTTCTGTTGGAAGTTATTTGCTGAAATCATTTTTTCTGAGTAACTTGTTAAAAACTAAGCCATTGACACACTGTCACTGTTTCTAAACTCATTGCTGGGTTGTGAATAAATGTATAGGATGGAAAATAAAGATCAATGTGAACTCTGTTTCCTCTTTCTGAGAAAGGCTTATTGCTAAGGCCTGGGGTTGGGGAATTTTGGATACAACAGTGAAAATAAATTTTTTACCCTTCTGTTTACCTTTGAATTTTTCTAAGAAAAATTTGAATTGTAACCTGTTCTTTTTCCTAGCAAATGATGTGTATTTCCTGTTAATAGAGAAAAGTTAATTATTAACACTGCAGTTTTGATTTGTCTTGGCTGCCTTTCTTCAGGTTCATTTTGGGTGCTGATTCCTGAGGTCTGATCAGGACAGTTTTCTCTAGGCATGCTGGTTTGAGATTAGTACAGAGACGTAGCACTCTTAGTTCTGGGTCTTACTGAAAGGGAGAAGGAAATGCATCTGAATTATTATGTCGAAGCATTTTGAAACTTAATGATAAACTGATAATTACACTGGTAGTTGGTTTTTGGTTTTATAAGCACATCTTTAAAAATATAGTTTAACATTTAAAATAGAATAAAGCCCACTGAACATAGTACTCAGATCCTGTGGATTACACTGACAACAAAAAAGTCAGGGAATTTGGGTTTGATACAACTAGAAGATTTAGCCACAAAAGATTTGAAGAAAAAATGTCCTGCATCTTCCTTGGCTTGGAATATTTGATTATGTAAAGAAATACCTATCTTGTTATAAGTTGTACATAAGTCTGTGTATGGTTTTTACATGTCCCATTAGTTGCTTTAATAAAGTTAGATTTGGTCACATAAAGAAATTGTCTGTGTGAAGTGTGATTAAGAATTGGAGGGAAAAGACTTATTTATTGAATTATTTTTCTTAGATAATTTTATTTTAGAATTAAGAAAAATTGTTCTGTCCAACAATTTTTAATATAAATAAGAACAAATTTAGCATAAGCAGTGTTGGCATATTTCTGTTCCATCTTTTGTTTTAATTTTTCATTACATGGCAATGTGTTTTTATTTACCTGCTAAAGCAATCTTGTTTTTCACTAATAAGTAATGTTTTGTGTTCTCTTCTCTACCATTATTATTGATTAGAAATCTTCAGTTTGTCAAATAAGTACATTTTTTCCAATCATCCCTGATAAACAACCCTTGACTTTAACAGTTTTGCTGATTTAAGGATTCAAGAGTGGCCTGAAATTATTCCTGCCTTAATTTAGCAAATGCAATTTGGTGCCTCTGCTTTTGAAATTGCTAAACTAATTATTGCTCTTCTCATCTGTAATTTTTGTTTCCTCCATCAGCCAATACCACTCCTGAAACAGAAGATGAATCATTCCATCACAATGTCACAGGAACAGATTGCCAGTCTTTTAGCCAATGCTTTCTTCTGCACATTTCCACGAAGAAATGCTAAGATGAAATCGGAATATTCTAGTTACCCAGACATTAACTTCAATCGGTATGTTTTCAGGGAACACAGCTTTCACAATGAGCTAGAGAGCAGTGGAAGAAATTAATATTTTTTGAGTAATTTGCCATGGGCCAATCATTTTACATGCAGTTATCTAATTTAATCTTTGTAACTAAAGATAGTTGCATTTGGCAGGCAAGGTGATTAAGGTTCACAGAGATTAAAGGACTTGATTGGGTCCCAGAGCCAGTAAGTCTCAGCGGTGAAGTTTCATCTCAGGCCTATGTTACTTCAAGACCCATGCTCTTTCCCTCCTCTCGGATTATCCTCTTCCTCTGAGTGTTATGGACTTCATGTGCGTTTTCAGTTTGATTATTCACAGCAGCATTTGCTATATTTATATTCCTCATATGCTGAAATAATGTTAAAGATGGAGTAAAAGTTCTCCTTTTCATAAAGGTCTTATGAAATGAGAGTATAAAGTCATGAGGTTGTCTTGTGAGACTTGAAAAATATATTTGTTAAGGTGAAAAGTGAAAGGTGACTTGGTCTTTTTATATACATGATTACTTTATCAGTCTAATATTTTTAAAAGGAAGTCAAAGGAATGTTCAAATTATTTGACTAATATGTTGTGAAGATATTGATGAAGCTTTAAATTCTAGTCATTTTCCCAGATAACTACCCTATCCTCTACTAAAACATTATAAGGAATTTTTTTTTTTTTTTTGGCTAAGGAATATAATTTTCCCCTCTCATTCCCCATGCCCTTATCCCCACCTCTATTTATTTTTTCACTTGAGAATTATCTTTATGAGATCCAAAAATGGAATCTGAGTTTTTTCCCCTAATGTTGGGGCAAGAATTCAGAAAACTGCTCTAATATGTGCTTTTCTTTCCCAGTAGGTTGTGAGTAATGCCCTTCCCACCAGCTGCACTCACCCCTATCCCACCTCTGCGGGCTGGTCAGTTTGGGCAGTATGTGGAGTAGGAGGTACGGTCATGGAGCAGACAAATGAGAAAAAAAGCCACTTTATTTGCCAAAACATTTTGGTCTTCAAAGTGGAGTTGCGCAATAACACCATTTGTTTTAATTTGCCTTTTTAATACAGTTTATTTAAAAACTTTTTTGATGTGAATTAATTATAGACTTAGAGAAAAGTTACAGAAATAGTACAAAGAATTCTTGTATAAAACTCACTTTCACCTTACCTTAACGTCTTATAAAACCATTGTAAAATTGTCAAAACCAGTAAGATAACATTGGCATAATACTGTTAACAATAGACCTTATTTTAATTGTCCTTTTTTCTTTTTTTATTTAGAGACAGGGTCTTGCTCTGTCATCTAGGCTGGAGTTCAGTGGCCTTGATCATAGCTCATTGTAAAAACCTTTACCTCCTAGGTGCAAACAATCCTCCCATCTTAGCCTCCCAAGTAGCTAGAACTACATGCCACCATGCTTGACTAATTTTTAATTTTTTTGTTTTTGTTTTGTTTTAGAGACAGGGTCTGTCTGATCTCAGATGCTAGTGATCTCAGATTTCTGTCCTTAAATGATCATCTGGCCTTAGCTTCCCAAAGAGTTGGAGTTATGGGTGTAAGTCACTGTACCTGGCCTACTGTCCTTTTTCTGCTCCAAAATTCTACTCAGCAACCCATATTAATTTAATTATTAGCTTAGTGTCTAACCCCTTCCTTGATTTTTTCTTTTCTTTCATGACTTTGACACTTTTGAAGACTACTCATCAGCTTTTTTTTTTTTTTTTGCAATTTTTGGCCAGGCCTGGGTTTGAACCCACCACCTCCAGCATACGGGGCTGGCGCTGGGGCTGGCGCCCTACTCCTTTGAACCACAGGCGCTGCCCCCACTACTCACCAGCTTTTTAGGGAGTATTTTGAATCTGGGTTTGGCTTTTTTTCTTTTTTAGAGGCAGAGTCTCAACTTTGTTGCCCTCGGTAGAGTGCTGTGGTCTCCCAGCTCACAACAACCTCCAACTCCTGGGCTTAGGCTGTTTTCTTGCCTCAGACTCCCGAATAACTGGGACTACGGGCACCTGCCACAACGCCTGGCTATTTTTTTGTTGCAGTTTGGCTTGGGCAGAACCTGCTACCCTCAGTATATGGGGCCAGCACCCTACCCACTGAGCCACAGGTCCACCCAAGTTTGGCTTATTTTTCACAACTGGAATGAGGTCATGCATTTTTGGTGGAAATGGTCTTGCGTCTTTCTCAGTGCATCACTTCTGTGGGGTCATGATACTTCTTATTATTAATGATCTGTTGTCTAAAGTAGTATCTCTGGGGTTTTTCCACTGTACAGTCACCGTGTTTCCCTTTGGTGTCAGTAAATATCTCAGGGGAGACAAAACACTATGCGTATGAGGTTTTGCCTCACTGTATCCCCCACTAATTTCAGCATCCAGAGGTGGAACTTGTCTGCACTGTCATGTTTGCCAATTGTGATTTTTTTATTTCCCTCTTCTACATTTATTAATTGAAATAATATTGTTATGAAAAATGTCCCTTCTCCATTTTTATTATATCAGAATGGACTCGTTAATATTTATCTTAAAAGTTAAAATTTAATACTATCATTCTTTATTTTGCTGCTGAAATTTTTTTAGGTTAGACATTAGGGTTCCTTTAGGTTATGTCCTGTTTTTGTTTGACAAGCCCCATCCTTTTTCGGAACATTTCTTTTCTTTCCAGAATCCTGAGATGTTACAATCTCGTCTTATGGCCCAACCCTGTAATCAACCATTTTCTTAAGGATTCTTGGTTTTTTAAAATTGTTCAATGGTATTTAGAGACTTAGATCTGGGTGATAGGTGTTCTCATTGCTAGTAGGGTATCATTGTTTCTTCATTGTTTGTTTCTTTTTAATTTTGAGACAGAGTCTCACTCTGTCATGTAGGCTAGACATTAGTGCAGTGGCATCATTATTGCTCTCTGCAACCTCAAAATCCTGGACTCAAGTGATGCTCCTGCCTTCACCTTTTCAGTAGCTAGGAAGACAGGCACATGCCATCATGCCTGGCTAGTTTTTCTATTTTCTGTAGAAATAGGGTCTTGCTCTTACTCAGCCTGGTCTCAAACTCCTGGCCCTAAGCAATCCTCCCAAAGTACTAGAATTACTAGTGTGATCCACCACCCCAGCCCAGTACATCGACTTACTTTATATGGGCAGCATTTTTTCTAACTACACATGGAGGTGGAGAAATGGAAACTGATTCAGTCACATTTCTTTTTTTTTTTTAGACAGAGTCTCAAGTTGTCACCTTGGGTATCTTCAGTGTCATAGAGTATCAGCCCTAAAGGCTGTGTTTTTAGGCTTGTAAAAACGGAAAACTTCTCTCTTGAGATAAGAAAAATTTTAGAATTCTAATGTTAGTACCTAATAAAATGTAATTTAAAAATTTTAAACATTTTGGCACAATTATTAAGTTTTTTTTTAAAGCAGTTAAAAGAATAGCAGATGATTTTAATAAAAGAATACTCAAACTCAGGTGGTGCCTGTAGCTCAGTAGGTAAGCTGCCAGCCACATACACTGAGGCTAGTGGGTTCGAACCCAGCCTGGGCCAACTAAAAGAACAATGACAATTGCAACAACAAAAAAATAGCCGGGCTTTGCAGCAGGCACCTGTAGTCCCAGCTACTTGGGAGACTGAGGCAAGAGAATTGCTTATGCCCAAGAGTTTGAGGTTGCTGTGAGCTGTGACACCACAGTACTCTACCCAGGGCGATAAAGTGAGACTGTTCTCAAAAAAAAAAAAGAATACTCAGACTTATAATTTGGGGGTTATATTTTTAAAGCTCCCAAACTTTAAAATATCCATGAAAATTTTTGCTGTTTTTATATAGAGTTATTCTTCGTTATTGATACTGGGGGAGGCAAGCATACAGTGTAAAAGAATATTATCTGAGAGAAGTTCTCTAAAATCCCAGTGTTGACAAACAAGATGGTATTTGTTTTGTATTATGTCCTCTTTGGTTGCATAAATACCGATTGCGAGGGGCATGTTTTTAACCTGTTTTTCCAAATCTGTACAGTAGCTAAGTTTGTTTTAAGAGAATAATATTTAATTACTGAGTTTAGTTCACATATACAGTGAGCAAGTACAGTATTCTCCATTATGTGTTAAGTGCCTTGGGGTTACAGAGAAGTAGTGAGTGATTTTATGAATTCTTAGTCTTGTGTACTATTATCTTGTTTTCAAACTTCACAACTGCCCGATGCCCTTCTGCCCTCCATATGGCTATTCCTCCTTCACGACTCAGTTTCCTTTCCACTTTTTGTCTTATCTCTGATTCTGCTACAGTAAGTTTATTATTCTGCATTCCTTTGACAGCCTATATTTACCTTTGTGTAAAGGAGAGGTGCAGACCGTTATGATTCTGTTAGAGAAGGATATAATTTAATAATGGAAAATAATTTTTTTGCCCATGTTTTGGGTTTTGTTTTTTTTTTTTTTTTGAAATGGGGTCTTGTTGTTGTGTTACCTAAGCTGGGCTCAAACTTTTGGGCTCAAGCAATCCTCCTGCTTTACCCTCCTGAGTAGCTGGTTGTATAGGTACACGCCACTGTGTCCAGCATAACTATTGAATTAAGTACAAAAGAGTGAGTGGGAATTTTTACTAAGGAGGGAAGGAAAGATGATTGTGTTCTAGGCGGGCGGAAGAGCATGTATACTGTGGTGAGGAGGACTTGACATGCCCAGGGACTGTGAGAAGACCAGTTGTGGTTGCAGTGCAGAGTGAGGAGCATGGAGAGGGGAGG